GTCTGGAAATGTTCCCATACTCTTGCTTGCCTTTGACTAATATCCTGCTGAGGATCCACAACTTTGAACAAGAACAAAAGATACAAGATGTTGTAAGATCTTGCCTTCTCCCACTTCAGACAAGTTCAAAGGGAGGAGATTTTTTCAGTAAACAATGTCATGTAATTGGATTGCTTCTGATCAAAAGAACGTCTGTGTCATTGCTGACTTCCTTGTGCCAGCCAACTTCACAATCCTCTGATCCTTCATTTGTCAAAATGGCCGCATCAGCAGACATTCTAAGCTCACTCTAGATACTATTTCATATGGACACCTAATCAAATCATACACAGCATACAACCATTTTAACTTAAATCTCAACACCATGATCCATACAGATGCTACTCAATTTGGTGATGTCAATTTACCTTTTATATGGATACAGTTATCATTATCATCATCAGCTGGGGGCTAATGCCAATGGGGGGGCATGGCCACATCCACCCTTTGCTTCCACCTTTTGGGGTCCCTCATGGCAAGCCGCCAGGCAGGGACTCGGCCCATCTCGAACTCCTCACAACAGGTTTGATTGATCTGCCTAAGCCACGACCTCCAAGGTCGTCCCACAGGCCTCCTCCACCTAGGGCTGTCTCGTACAGAGACAACCTGGTGGGCAGGATCATCCTGGGGGAAGCGAGCCAGGTGGCAGTATAGCCTGAGTTGGCAATCCCGGATTGTGCAGTGAACAGGTTCTGTGCCAGTCTCACGGTGCAACCGTTGGCTAGACACATGGTCCTGCCAACTGTACCCCATGATTCGGCGCAAGGACATATTACAGAAGGTATCAAGACGAGACTCCAAGGCACAGAATAATGTCCAGGTTTCACTACCATATAGCAAAACTGGGACTATCAGGGCCTTGAAAACCTGTAGCTTGGTCCTTTTGCACAGGTACTAGCATCTCCAAATACTCTTGTTGAGAGAGTTCATGACCCCTGGTGCCAGGCCAATCCGTCTGCCAACTTCCTGGTCTGACAGCCTAGAGTTATGAACTCCACTACCAAGGTATGTGAAGCTCTCTATGATTTTTTTCAAATTTTGTGTGTGGATATGTGAGCCTGTGACGCACCTTGGGTGCCCGGTTTCAGCGTTTTTTCAACTGTTTTTGCTAATTAATTTCGTATGATATTGCTATATGATAGTTTAGGCTGTGTTCAGCAGGCAGGCAGCAGCAGCAAGGACGGGAGAACAGTGCGATTAAGTTGTCGGGAGTACACATGCGTTGTTTTTAACCTGTTGAAAACCTGGCAATATGTCATTTATATATCAGAAATGCCTAATGTATGATTTATCATGTACTCTGATATGAATATGACAGGCGACCAGGAGTCTTGATATCTGAAAGTATACTTTTCAGAGAACACTCCCACCTAACCTAACCTAACCTTGACATAAAGATGACCTAAAATTACCTGAACAAGGCTTGACCCTCTACCACAGAACTCCTATTAAAGGCCAAGGGATTGTCTAAGTAGATATTCACATTTGTAATCATTGGTATGACCTTTATGGTGTAATGACGATGAATGACAAAAACTGCTATTTTCTCAAAATTATATTTTCATGCATGTATGTAATTACGCGATTTTAATAATTTTGTATCCACTAACTATAGCTAAGTCATGCCTTATTTCCACCAAATACATTTTTTACTGAAAAATTAATGGCGATTTTCTGATGAATAAAAAAGTCACTTTTTTACAAGGTAACTGAAACATTGTCGTTTCAGATAGATTTACATAAATGCTACAGTTGGTACTCCTATTTGTTGACCAACTCTGGCCAGAAGGAAACTGCAGTACTATTCACTATAAGGAAGCCATTACATAATTTTCAAATTCTATCATCTCCCTCTTTTTTTTCTAGCGCAATCAAATTTCTTGTACTCAAGCATCACATATCCATGCACATTGTGTAAATTTTTTATTGACCTAACTAAAAACCTAAAGCAAAGAGGACCGAATAACGAATTTCGTGACCGTACTGACGACTCTTTCCCTTCAGGGGATCATCTGTTCATTTTCAGCATTTTTCGCCAATCTTGCCAAATTCCAGTTTAATGCATTTTCAAGGAGTTTCAGGGCCTCCGATTCTCCCCTGAATCTTTCAAGGCCTGACCATTAACAACAAACAAACAAATAAACATACGGAAGTAACAATGTAAACAAACAAAAGGTCATGGGAAACAAAAATAATCTACATATCCTTATATACCTTATAAACATACTTTTATGCCACCCTGTACTTGTATTTCGTCTTTTCACCGGAGTCTTGAGTATAAAAATTGGCCATGTCATCCCATAGAGTTAAACAACGTGGATCTGTGGGTGAAATGACGAGTGAGTCACGTTCCAGCAAAGCCCGGCCGCGCTGAGAACGGGACGTTTATGATACCCATCTGACAGGAGAACGATCACTTTTTGACCAGTATTATACATTCTAAAACACCAATAGAGCAAAAATAATAGATAATTATATCACATACAAGTATTCCATACATGATTTCATATATAAATGTCAAGAAAATCAAAAAGGAAAAGATCGCGATGTTTGGGTCCTACACATTTTTACGCATGGCACACACATTTTCAGTCCAATTTTGGCTCATTTTGTAGCCAAATAGTAGATCTATTACATGTAGCAATGAGGATTTGCAATATCTTCATGTGCGTCTTATAAAATTGACATATATTTGCAGTATCCTTTTTTTAGGTGTTGTAATAGTGAACTTCGAAAAATATTCACAAAAAAAAATAAAGAATGGCTGTATGATTTTTTTTGGATTTTAGAGAATTTTTTTTTATATGGTCAATGTAGGCCTAAAGACATTAAAAATTATTGCCACCCTGCTACACTATACGTATGATTTTGAGAAACCGTTATGTGCTAGCAATGTCTGGAAGACTTCGGAATGCCGGTAGATGATAGACAATTATGGTTTAGTAAGATTATACTTCTCCCTTTAATTTTTCATACCATAAGGATTATGAAACGAGAAAAAAAAAAAATTGATGACTGTATCTTGGAAGTATACTTGTTTACACAGAAATGCTATTCCAGGCGCAAATTTAGTCCAAAATAAACGTATCATGTTCTCATTTTGTAGACAAATAGTCCAAAATAAATGTATCATGTTCTCATTTTGTAGACAAATAAGTATTTTTAGGACATCTGCCAGTTGACTTGGGGTGGGGGTGGGGAGAATGAAATAAAAAAATCTTTCTACAAGAACTAGATAAAGGATGATTCTGTAAAATAAAATGATCAGAATGACAGTGTGATTTAAAAAAAAAAATGAAACAAACATTCTGCTTTGATCAATTTTCCTTTTTTTCTTCAGAGATTTTTTGTTTTTTTTTGTCAATAATTCAAAAACTGTTCGGATGATTAAAAAAAAATTACCACAGAGATCTGGATAGGGTGTAAATAAAAGGGTGCAAGTT